CCGCTTTACTGTCACTTCTCCGAAATATTATTTGCATGATAATATTAATTTCATTTTATATTAATAAATTACACAAATCATATAATTTTGAGATATAATAATTATTGAAAAACGATTACAAGTAATAAATCCATGCGTATAAAAAATGATTACAATATAAAAACGATTACAAATAAAATATTTCAATTATGGATCGTTTATTTGCAAGCATACGTAAATTGCGTAATATTTTTAAGAAGTTATTTAAAGTATTGCAGTGCAAATTCATAAATAGAACTAATTTTTTGCAAAATGTCATAAACCTATACATATAGAGGCATTCATATGTTATCTGTGCGTGTAAGGTTGCAAACTGTGCGTCAGAGGTAGACAAGAATTCCGACATTCCTGCGCAGGTGAGTCTGCAGTGCTGATGTGGCACATTGGCCCCGTTCGTTCTTCTCCGAACAACACGTAAGGACCAGCGAAATTATGATTTCAGAGAAGACTCCTCTTGCAAAGTGGAGCATGATAAAATATGATACGTTCGATCGAGTTATCTGTTACCAAGAGAAAAACAAGAACAAAAACAGACAGTGAATAATATTGCGTGCCACTTTTACAAAGTTCATCAGTATTATGTTACGTAAATACCTCTTTAGCTAGAGTTTATTTTTCAAATAAATCTTGAAATTAAATACACGTTGTATACACGTACACAAGTATCTGTTATTTAGAGATTTAGATGAATACTTGAGATGTGCACACCTGTCCTTTTTTTATTTCCTATATTATTTAATGTTTGAAATATATATATATATATATATGTGTGTATCAACATTTATATTACTAATATGTTTTCTGCATTTTTTATATTTCCATGCAGTGTATATGTATTACTTTTCTGCTTTATGTATTATCTTAATTTGTATTTCATGTATGTTTTTCTAAATTTTTAAATATTTTCATACAGTGTACATGTTATTATTACATACTATTATCATCATAATTTATATGTCATGCATGTTTTTTACATTTATTAGGTTTACAACTTTGCTTCCGCCGTTTTTTTTCCGAAATTCGAAGCTTTATTGTAAAAAACTGGTTATACATTTATGATTCAAAGTATTGTCCATCGCTGGCCACTACTTTCTCCCATCTTTCGAGTAGCGTAGCTAGCGA